GTCAAATTTTGAGAATTTTTTATTTTGACCTACTTTTCGGACACCATATCTCAAAAATGGGGCAAAATACTTTCTGACGGCAAAAGGCTAACACTATTAGCAGACTCTTAGCTACATGTATACAAAATTTCGAAGAATATAATTAATCTGTTGTGTCAGAATCGCAAAAATAAGGAAAAACTTTGAATTTGACCTAGATTTTGACCTAGGCATTTTGGTGTCCAAATTTTGAAGCTAGATGGCTTATGAGGTCCCCTTCTTTTAAAAGCTTTCGTTATATTTAGCTGAACTCAGTCTATATTTCGTATTTTTCACTTCAAAAAAATCTTTTTTCCCATTGACTTAACATGGGGCACCAAATTTAGCGATTTTTGAGCTTTCAAAACGCCATAACTTCCGAACGGGAAGTCGGATCAAAATTTGGTTTGCAGATTCGGATTCCTGAGAAAATTCTACCCTTATTTCATAGCTCATATGATAAATTTGGAGAACTTTTTGGTTTTGACCTACTTTCAGGACGCCATATCTCAAAATCGCTAAGAGTAATCAAAAAACGGATGGCACACCCTCGATTTGTTTTTTTGTAAGCTACATGTAGAAACTAAGATGAAGTAGTTACGACAAACAACAACGAAGATAATTGACAGAATGTTGATTTGACCTTGATTTGACCTAGTTCTTGACCCTTGACCTAGATAGAAATTTGACCTAATTTCCCATCATCCCAGGTACTGCCCCTAGTTGATCATGTAAGCAGCTTAAAGTAAATTCTTTTAGTTGGTGAGAAATCTGGGAAGGAGGAAGATTCTGAAAGAATAATAATAATAATAATAATAAAGAAAACTGACGAAAGCAATAGACTCCAGATTTTCATCTGGAGTCTAATAATAATAATAACTAGACTTTGGAAATTGAACGAAGTTCAATTTCAGACTCCAGATCTAGACTTTTTTTAGCCCAGTCATACAGAATAAGCCGAGTCATCCAGAATAAGCTGAGTCATCAAAATAAGCTGAGTCATCCAGAAAAAGATGGATGGGTGGATGGAATAAGCCTAGTCATCCAGAATAAGCCTAGTCATCCAGAATAAGCTGAGTCATCCAGAATAAGCCGAGTCATCTAGAATAAGCCAAGTCATCTAGAATAAGCTGAGTCATTCAGAAAAAGATGGATCGATAAAATAGGAAGGTTGGATAGGACAGAATAGGAAGGAACGATAGGATAGAATAAGAAAGAAGGATAGGATAGAACAGAATAGGAAGAAAGGATATGATAGGAGAGGAAAGGAAGGATAGGAAGGAAAAGATACAAAGGAAGGATAGAAAGGAAGGATAGGATAAGATCAGATAGGAAGGATGGATGAATTTTTCAACATTTTCTTCTCTACTCTTGACTTTCTATCAGGATACCATCAGATCGATTTTCCGAAATTTCAAAACGCCATAACTTCCGAACCGGAAGTCGGATCAAAATTCGATTTAAAGATTCGGATTCCTGACAAAATTCTACCCCTAATTCATAACTCATACGTTAAATTTGGCGAATTTTTATTTTGACCTACTTTTTGGACACGCCATAACTTTGAAATCGGAAGTCGGATCGAAATTTGGTTTGCAGATTCGGATTCCTGAGAAAATTCTACCCTTAATTCATAACTCATACGTTAAATTTAGAGAATTTTTTATTTTGACCTACTTTTCGGACACCATATCTCAAAAGTGGGTCAAAATACTTTCTGACAGAAAAAGGCTCACACTATTAACACACTCTTTCCTATCTGTATACAAAATTTTGAAGTAAATTATTGAAGTGTAGTGTCAGAATCGAAAAAATAAGGAAAACCTATGAATTTGACCTAGATTTTGACCTAGGCATTTTGGTGTCCAAATTTTTATGAAAAGAAGGTCTTGAGGTCCCTTTCTTTGATGGGCTTCCATTATGTTTAGCTGTGCTTAGTCCATATCTCGTATTTTACACTTCAAAAAAATATTTTTTCCCATTGAATTAACACGGGGCACCAAATTTAGCGATTTTTGAATTTTCAAAACGCCATAACTTCTGAACCGGAAGTCAGATCGAAATTTGGTTTTCAGATTCGGAATCCTGAGAAAATTTCCTATAAGACTGATATCCTGGACATTGGATTCGGAGAACTATTTTTTGGACCTCGTTTTCGGACACTGATATCTCGAAATCGGTTTGAGATACCAAAAAACTAAATCGACCCAAGCTTTTCTACTTTTTTATGAGGAACACAATGAAAAAAAACCGGATCAAAAATATTGAAGGACGACCGAGAAAATCGAAAAAAGTGACAAAGTACTGGATTTGACCTAGTTCTTGACCTTTGACCTAGATAAAAATGTGACCCAATTTCCCACCAACTAGATACTATACCTAAATAAACTGTATAATGGTCTTTACTGGATACCTTATAGTTTCTGAAAAAACGGCTACGGAATAATAAGAATAATAAGAATACTGGCAAAAACAATAGACTCCAGATTGACATCTGGAGTCTAATAAGAAAACTGGCAAAAGCAATAGACTCCAGATTTTCATCTGGAGTCTAATAATAAAGAAAACTGACGAAAGCAATAGACTCCAGATTTTCATCTGGAGTCTAATTATAATGATAGAGATATGCATTATTTTTCGGAATACTGTATGTCCATATATTTTCTTCTGAAATAATTACCCTTAAGAAAAAAGCCATGGTAACCATGGTATTCCATGGTACGTCCATGGTAATCCATGGTTTTCCATGGAAATTCATGGACACCCATGGTAATCTTCCATGGATATTTATCATGATCTTCCATGGTAATTAGTGGTTTGGTAATTGTTTTTTCATGGACATGTCATGGCTTTTACCAGGACACACAGATATCCAAGTTGGACTGAGACTTATCAGTGAGAAAAAAGGGTGGACATTTCATGTTATTTTAGGTTTAGCAGGAACATATTAAACTCATCTTCCTTACAAATGAGAAAATATGTAAGAATTATGTAACTTTTCTAGAAGATAGTGCAGTTAATGCAGCACAGAGTAGGCCACAAGATTTCAAAGAGAAATATGTATAGGGCTTTTGCATAGATCAAGACTAGATAGAGATTCCTTATTTTTTAGGCCAAACATTTCTCCTCTTTTGGTAAGATTAAGTCAAACTAGCCCTACCTCTGTTTTGTTTTCTTATTGTTTCTTTAATATTCAGTTATGAAAATTAAAATGAAATAATTTCAAAAATAAATAACTCTTTTTCTTAAATTGCATGTCTTACATTTTAGAATGCAATAAAAACCATGGTTTCTTTCTTTGAAGTTGAGGAAACTGCAATCAAAAGCCATGGAAGACGGTTGATTGCAATCGAAAGCCATGCTTTTCCATGGTTATTTCTTTGATGTTTTGGAAAGTGCAATCAAAAGCCATGCTTTTCCATGGATATTTCTTTGATGTTTTGGAAAGTGCAATCAAAAGCCATGGTTTTCCATGGTTATTCTTTTGATCTTTTGAAAAATCCATGGTTTTCCATAGCTATTTGTTTGGTCTTTTGGATGCAGAAAAAAGAATAATGCATAATGAACTTTTCCAAATAAAGTCTCATTTAACCTTTATGAGCACATTGTCTGAAAAATCCATAGAAAAGTATATATTTTTTAGAATTTTGACTTGAAATTAAGGTTGGGGATTAAACACAAGCCTATGACTGCAAACTGAAATGTAATGCCTAAGTGATCAAAAATATATTTGTCTATGTACTTAGGTTATTATACTTATGTAATCTATTTAGAAAGAAGTCATAATCATTTGCATAATATTTAAATATTTGGTTGTCATTCTTCTATGTTAACTAGGTTTCTTAACTCTCAAATTAGTGTTAAAATTTTTCTTTGCTACAGATTATATAGTTCATTTGCATAGTTTTAAAATATATGTATTATGATCTTAATTGTTATTATTTATGATGAGTGCTTCCTCTTCAGTAATTATAATTGTCTGTGAGTGTAGACAGTGCAAGTCAAAAACTCATTGTTGATCAAATAAAACCAAATAGGATTAAAAACTCCAAGTAATCATGTCTCTTCGCTCTGCAATAAGGGAATCTGGTGAGCTGATTTTATCATTTATTTTGGCTTCTTTTACATTTTTGCCCAAGTTACGTGATAGCAAATCACAGCAAATAGATATATTAATTGTAATTGTGGGGTCAAATCATGGGCTTTCAATTCAATTATTATGTGAAAAGTTCTTTATCATAGAACTAAACATATATCTAGATTATGAAAATAAGGTTGGATTTCAGGCCCGTAGCCAGCTTTTGCCAAGGGGGTTGACTTTCTCAAAATTTGAGGGGGACATCATTTTCTTCTCTCTATGATTAGTCTCAATCCAGCTTGGATTCATTCATTAAAACATTGATTCAATTTGGAAGATTTTGGTAAATACAAAAACTGCCAAAATTGTTGATTTTACAACTCCAAGTCACTTAGTATTATGGTAAAAACATGGCATTCCATGAAAAACCAATTACCAAACCACTCATTACCATGGAAGATCATGGTAAATATCCATGGAAGATTACCATGGACGTCCATGAAATTCCATGGAAAATACCATGAAAAACCATGAATTTCCATGGAAAACCATGGATTACCATGGACGGACCATGGAATATCATGGCTACCATGGCTTTTTTCTTAAGGGTACTCTCATGACCTCATACCATGAGTTGTGTCCTTTTGTTACATTCATGTCTTGTTTTATTTCTTTGATATGGGCATTTTGTATTCTCTTTTTTCTTTTTGGTCATTAAAAGAAGGTACAATCCATATAATGCTAATGCTTACAGATAAACACTTTTTTAGTCTCTTGGGCAAGTCTCCTAATTAGGTTAGATACATGTATTCTTAAATTTGAGATAATCCACAGTATCATTTGGTAAACTTGGATGACTAGACATGATAAAATTTACATGATTTATAGATCTTGAGAGCTGCAGTTAGATAACTTTGACATTACTTGTCAGACAAACTCTACTCTAAGAAGGATAAAGTTATCAATTCCCTCAAGTCTCTATCATAAAAGAGGACCAAACTTGTACTAAAAGAGGACCAAACTCTGAACTGTAAAAAGGACTGAAATAACTGTAGGTTTAATATACTAAAAGAGTAAAAGTACCTACATTTATTATAACATTGAAGATAAGGAACTAATCATGTCTAGTAACAATGTCATTAAATGCTGGAAACTTCAAAAGTATGCGCACCTTCAGCCTGTGGAACAACCCAAAGTGGCGTCATCAAATGAAGGAGATCAGTGGAAACATTATGATGGCCATACAGGAACACTTACAATAAGCATTGCTGGGAAATCTCATTTAATAGTGACATACAAGGAAACAATACTTGAGTGCCATTCCTTATTAGATGCCAGAAACTGGATGAGGGCCATTGTAAAAGGAGACAGTGTACTCTTTGTTTATAAAATCAAAAATGATAGCGGTCGCTTCAGGATAAAGTTTGAATCTGGTATAGATCAATGTCAGGAGTCTATGCGTCAGTTGAACCAATATTTCCATGTGAAAGGACTACCTGAGCATGACACACCTAATATTCTTGATGCAGATGAGCCAATTACAACTCAACCGAACGAGACTGCAAAACTAGGAGACCTAACAAAGTTGCTTCTTGAGAAGAATACTGAGTGTTTGCCTAATGCTTATCAATGGAGCAACCTACCAAGTAATGCTGGTGACTTGGATCAGATAATAAGGCTATGTTTGGCTGATCCTAGTTTCCCAGCTTTTGTGGGAAAAGTTGAAGAACAGTTGAATAAGTTAAAGACAGAGTAAATTATCGAACATTTTAATGAAGTTTTGAATTTTCACAATGCTCACAAAACCCCATAAAAATAATTGAGAAGTTAAAACTGTCAGACGTTCCAAAAATGACATTCTTGCAAATTCACCTTTTATAATTGAAATATTTGTTATCATTAATCATTCTCATTTTGAAAGTGTGAGTCCTACATTAAATGCTGTGGTATGTAGTCGCAACACGGCCTTTCAAGAAAGAATTTTATGAATCAGAGTTTCTAGTTAATAGGATCACTGGGTATTCGGATGTTTATTTTAAAACCTGAATTCTTCATCCCTTGGATTATCATTAGTATTAAAAACACGCATGGGCTTTTAAAATGAGAGGAATTTTATCTACCCCTCTTCAGTTCAAATAAATGCCCATGGACCTATTAGTGAGTAACTCCAGTTCAGTTGTCACTACATGGTTTGTCAAGAAAGCCCATGATATCAATTATTTATTTGAATTTAAAATAATTATTTTCCAATTGATTTGAATACAAGGACATATTTTAATGTTCAGTTATATCTCCATGTTCTTTGATTATGAAACAGAATGAGTGTTTATTATGGAGTGGAAGCTACAAATGATGATTACTAGGGTAACTGTACTTGCACTGAAAAATTGCTGCAAAATCCAGCATTTGGAATTTACAGCTAGCCTTGATATGGGAGAAAACCATGAAAAATATTCAAAGTTTTGGCCAAACTAGAAGAATCCTAAGTAGACACTTTTTTTAATGTACCTAATGTTACATGCTTATTTACTGTACTTCTACTTAATAATATAACATGGTACTAAAATTACAGTGAAATCTGGCAGTGACTTAATTTGGCGAACTTAAACAATTTGGTGGATTAAAATTAAAACAACTGCCAATTAAGTAGAAGTACAGTATCTCTGATTTCATCTTAAACTCTTTCAAAGAAAATATTTTTTGGTGAAATAACAAAATTCAGTAAGTAGAATCAAATAACTGATGTTAAGTTATGAAAATAATGTTATAAAGTTTAAATTAGGCTAATAAGGTTTGATTGTTTTTTAGCTTAGAGTTAATGACTGTTGCTTTTTTGATTCACTTTCTGTTTTAAGAATCAGTTTTTGTTTTTTCACATTGTTTCATTTATTTAAAATTTGAAGTTTTTTTAAAAGTTAAAATGGTGTTGAAAAACATGCTTATTGAAATTGGCAGCAAAGATTAGAGATTGGCTGATCTACATTTAGTGACTTTCTAAAATGATTGGTCAAAAACACTAAGTAACAATAATGCCACTAAAAAACAATAATGACAATTCAAACTTTGAAAACATGCCCCCAACAACAAAAACAAATTCTGTTATTGATTTAACCAAGTAGAAGGGATAGAAATATGTTGAGAGTTCCTTCAAAAATCCCTTTGCCTACAACATTTGTGTCATGCCTATTTAAAAAATTCCATAAATTCATACTTTATTGGATCTTGCAACGATTTTGAAAAGTAGAATCCCTTTCTCAATATTTATGGATTTAGACAATCTTTCATTCATTCAACCCTTGAATAACTTCTATATTTGATCAGATTCTTTTTCAGATTATTGGCATGCTTTTTAAATAACAATTTACGTCTTCTATTCTTTGTTGCCACTTTAACTAAATAGTTTAAGATAATATTCTGCTTCAATTAGGTTCTGTTATATCATACTGATTACCTTATAATTATATTATATTAAAATAATTGTTGTGCATATACATTATACATGTACAGTGTATGGATTTCAAGTTTTCTTTGCTGACTAGGAAATATTAAAAACTGATCAAATAAATTATTTTCAAATTTTGAACTTGGTGCAAATGAAATTGCATTGAGGTACAATTTTAAAATTCTTAAATGGTTGCAGTGCCCAGTTTATTCACTAATTACATCACTGTTTGAAGCTATTCTAATGATAGATAAACAGGTACTGATATTTTCATGTGGTTTTCAGGTCAAGACAGACAGCATTATGGCATCTCAAAAGACAAAGGAATATCGGCCAATTGAGTTTGTAACAGCTAGGAATTCAACTCATGATGACAGTTCTACGGCAAAAAAGAGACGAGTCAAAGAATATGAAACTAAGTCCAAAATTGATGGTGTGGAGGCTAGATCATTTTATGAAGAACTTGTATCTGAAACAGGGAAACATGAATCAAAATCAGCAATTCTAAAGCCAACATCTCGATCTCACAAAAAACAAAAGCCGTCTAAAAAACAGAAACATTTAAGAAACTCAGGAAAGGAACTTCCTAAAAAGACAATAACTGATAGAGATTGCGATAATTATCTTAAAAGTGCTCAAAATGATGACTTGAAGCAAGTGAAGTGGTATCTTCAACAAGACGGTGATATAAACTACAGGGATAAATTTGGATGGAATGCATTGATGTGTGCTGCCCACAATGGTGCCATGAGTGTAGTGCGCCATCTATTGGAATGTAAGATCGACCTCCGTGCTGAAGATGCTCTTGGACGTACTGCTGACATTATTGCTCAACTTGGTGATCACCAAGAAATAGTTGAGTTGATAAAGGAGCACATGGACCTCCCTGGTGCTATTCATTCTAAGCCATTTGACTTTGATGTAAAAGTCAAATTGGAGAAAATATTTTGTGAAACATGTAACCAGATGTATGCAGGTGACCCTAAAGCGCATGAAACGTCAACAGTTCATCTATTTAACTGTCAACATCAATCTAGCAGCACTCTGTATCATTTACCAGAGTCGAACAGAGGTTTCCAGTTAATGGTCAAAAGTGGATGGGATGTAAACAAGGGACTAGGAAGTAAAAATCAAGGACAAAAATTTCCAGTGAAAACAGTCCTGAAAAGAGACAGACAGGGGTTGGGTAGCAGTGCCAAACCAAAAGCAAAAATCACACACTTTGGAGCGGGAGATAAGAAAGCTATAGAGCATGCTAATAAAAATCCTCTCAGAGAAATGAGGATAAAAACTCTAAGCAAAAAGCAAATGAAAAGGGAACAAGAGAAAAAGAAGACTTGGGAAAGAGATATGAGACGCTATATGAACATGGAGTAATTGATCACAAATACTGACATTCTGACTTTTAAATGAATAGTTGATTTACATTTTTACGAATTGACTTTCAGAAAAGCTCCTGAACACTAAAAATTAATGCATCAGTTCCATACACTATTTTCAGTGAGTAGTTGGAGAAAAAAGGATTCTGACTCCAGCCTGATTTAACGATGGCAGCAGTTGGTGTTGATATGGAGCGCCATCTAATAGAGCTGGGAGAAAGTGAAATGGCTGCAGAAGATGTTCTGACTGACAGACAAACAATCGTAGACCTTGATAGGAAGAGGAACAAAACCAGGGAGGCACTTAGGTATAAAACATGATATAATATTATATAATATATACAAAATGAATATTATATATACAAAATGAAACCATTCAATTTGAATTATATTTGTGGGGACAGATGTTAAACCTGAATAAGTTAAAATATTTATTATCAGATTATACTTTATCAATCATCGGTTGGCCTTATGTAGTGTTGCCTCGTTAATATGCCCTTCACCTTCTCTGTATTGAATTATTAGGATTTTCATAACTGATTTTATGTTATATTGCTTGGCCTTATGTATTGTCAAATTTGAATCAGCTTGTGCGACTGCCCCTCCACCAAAAGCCAAACAGTTATGTATTGTATATTCATCCCTACAATTTAATGAAAGAATTGTTTATGAAAAACAGCATATTATTTATGATAATTTTCAGATCACTGCAGAAAGACAAAGAAACAGAGAAAACTTGGTTATGTATGGGCAACATGTTCCTAAAGCTGCCAAAGCCTAAAGCCAAAGAGATGCTACAAAAAGGTAAGTTGGAAAATATGTTCAACCAATTCGTAAATTACTGAGGAGTTTGAAAATCGTAAACATTTAAAAAAGATGCAAAACAACATACAGCATGTCCAAAATTTGATATGAAAAACCATGTGGATGTGGATGGTTGCCATTGAATTTAAGAATTATCTGAGCAGTGATATTATCTTGATAAACCAATAACTTAAAATGTCTCATATTATGCTCAGAGATGATAAATTTCACCAATCTTTGTCTCAGAAAATCACCCTTTTGACATAGTCTTAAGGTTTAAACTTTTCTAAGATGGATTCAAAATTGGGCAAGTACTAGTTTAGGACCAGATTTTCATATATTAAAAGTAAGATCTACATCCTGGCATTCTTCCTTCAAAATGACTCCCAACATACAATTGGGCGTTATTTTGAAAGAATTTTTCCAATATTGCCCAAGTAAGGAATATTCATAATTATATTTTTGCAGATTTTGATCAACTAGATGAGGAAATAAATAAACTGCGGAAAAATCTCAAGATAAAGGTTGACAAACTAAGAGACATAGAACAAGAAGACTCTCTTAAAGGATTTCACCTTCAGCCCCTTAGTAAGGAGGAATTGAAGGCTATTGACTCAGTACTATGATAAAATCAGATATGGATAAACTATTATGAATGATATTGCACATGAATGGGAATCCAGGAATTAGTGGAATTAACGAGGAATTTAGTGAACAAAGTACTCAGTTGATTCTGTTAATTGGGCAGAAATACTGTCTGAGTTGTGCTATGTTATGTTGCTTTAACCAGTGTACGCACTGCCTTGTACACTATGGCTTGGCATTCCATAAAAACATGATCTGATGATAATCCCATGTTATTGCTGTGCAGTTCTTCAATAGGCTGATATCAACAGATGCAACAAGGACTTTAGTGGGATACTATCTACAGATCTACTGTACCATCTTGTGTTGTGATAGACACATTGCTGTGAAATGCTGTGACAGTTTTGTCTATGACAGTAAGCTCAAACACCACAATATGAGTGATCTGTTTGAAGCAACTGCATGATTGAACAATCTTATAAATGTGTGATCGTACATCTCAGGCTCACTCAGGCATGTGGTTTGTGCATCCCCTTCAAAATATTATATTTTGATACAAATAAATAGAATAGCCTATTGAACAATTACACTTTTAATGTTTTTAACTGTGGTAATCTAAAAAGGTCGTAGGACTGTAGAGTGTTGGGTCATTGTCAATGCCTTTTTCACAAAATTAATGACTGTACTTTTACTTCATTTGGCGGCCTTTTTAATTTGGGGGATCCGCCAAATTGTTCAAGTCCACCAAATAAAGGAGCCACCAAATTCAATGTTTCATATTTCAATTGTAAATATGTATAGTATGTAACATTTCAATATTGCAATTCCGCCAAATTAAGTAGCCGCCAAATGTTCAAAACATCAATTCCGCCAAAATAAATAGCACCAAATGAAGTAAAAGTACAGTAAACGAATGTCAGACTCATCCCCTGTTCGTTAAATCTTATCATATGGATTCTTGATGTTACCCACTCAAATTCTATCAGACTTTTTATCACCCCGGTGTAAAGGGTAGGAGGTCATATCAAATTATGGTCCTACTTTCCATTGCTTTATATGGTGACCTAAATACAACTCTTTCCCTCATTATTTTACACTCAATCAGGGTCAGTAAGGGCCGTTAAGAAAGGGGACCATAATACCTGGGGACCATCATTTCACACAGACCCCTTACATTACAATTCTTATTTGTGAGAAAATGAATTCATGACACTTTGACAACTGAGCTGGAATCCAGTTTGGAGACACTACTCTTGCCAATAGTTTGACTTCTTTAAAAGAGAACTTCATATGCATAGTTAGTACTAGGGTCTGTGTCTCAGGGTATTGGACACTGAGTCTTTGATAAAAACAGAAGTTTTCAGTTTCATTTTTTGTTTGCAGTAAAGTCCAATAAAGTTGAAATAAAAATGGAACACTTTTCTGTCTCCAAACCTAGTACCCTTTTGTTAAGTTAAACTCTGCAAGTGGAACATCTACCAAGTGGAACTCTATAGGTAGTCCACTTCCACTTGTTTTGCTGTAAAATGTCATTATTTATAACTCAAATACTGGTTGTCAGATTCATATGATCTCTGCTAGAGAAGGAATTTTAAATATCTACTGTACTCCGGGTAAATTTCGACGCTATAAAATTTCGCGATTTTTCAAAATTGCAATTTCGCGGTTATTTAATTTCGCGGATTTGAGTTGATGACATTTCGCGAATTGCACAAGTTGAATTTTTTCCGATTACCGTGAATCAATGCGTATCTGGCTATTTTAGCCCTTTCAGAATCCGAATAATGTTTGTATTTCCCACGTTTAGGGCATTTATTTAAATATTCTTGAATGGCTTTTTCAACTGCAATTTGTAGGATATCATTGTTGTCAACAGTTCTTGCCTTTGTTGGCCTAATAAGCCAATTCAAAATGTTAGACATTTTAGGCCTTTTTTGAATTATCACCCAACAACACTAGACGAAACGTTTTACACCAAACGTAACATATCAAAAGTCCCGTTTCAAATCCCCGGGGATTTACAAGACAAATTTCGCAACGATAAATGTTCGCGATTTTACTACATTCGCGAACAAAGCGAAATTAAGTTGCACGCGAACAATACCCGGAGTACAGTATTCCAATTGGTCACCATTTTGCATACAGAGAGATAAACGTTTGGTTATAACTTGAAACCTTTACATATAACTTTTTAAATTAGAAGTAGAAATCTGTAGCTATAGTCCCAATGCTGTACTATGCTATACATGTTTTTCTTTGTCTCCAGTCGATCTTTAGTACCCCCAAACCAAACCAATCCAATAACAAAAATACAGAGAAATCAAATAATTCAGATAATTTATTTATTTATTTTATACAACCATGACATTACATGTTTATTTCTACATCGAGAGGCACCTACAGACCAAATGGGGACTGGGTCACTCGTATGTGATTCAAGAATTGTAATTCTTCTTTCAATCTGCCAATCTGTCAAATCAAAACTGTAACCAAATTAAGTGTATCTACAGTATCCAAAAGCCTAAAAATCATACGTTTAATGATTCAGTATGAAACAAAAGGCAGATGTCTCAGTACATGTTCTTGTATTCTAATTGTATTTGCATATAATGACAAGAAAATGTTGCACCATACTAAAGAAATCTGTAAAATAAACATCCTCACTCTCAGATATTTCATTCTAAGACATAATTGAAAGACTATATTTAAATCATGTGTTGTCATTAGAGGGTACTGCAGTTGTAATTCTAAGTCCATGCATTTGAGCAATCTCTGTGGCAAGTGCTTCATTCACCATTCTATGTTGCATAACTTTACGTTTTCCTTGAAATTCATTCGCCTCTAAATAGATCTCATACATGGCACCACAGCCACCAGAAATGTCCTGTACTTTCACATCTTTAGCTCCGGGAAATTTCTCTTTCAAGCGTTCAGTTAATACACGTTCACCCTCTGATTCGCTGGTTGTATCGGCAGATAACCATTTAATCATGCTAGGTTGTACTCTGGGAATTCTAGGAATTTTTCTTAAAGTCTGAAGCATTCTTTGAAGAACCATTTTCCCTTTTATGTTCTTAATCTACTTTTCATTCAGTTTTGTGTAGTTTCAGTATTTAGTATGTAGATCTCCCGTCTTAGTGTACCAATGTAGCATGCAGTTCTGCTCTCGTATGGTTGATTTAGATGCTAATGACTTTAATCAGTTTCCTGAAAAACAAAAAATATGCATCCTGTTAGTACATGTATAATCCTGTACTGTATGTTTGAAACATCCACAGTAGGGCTGGCATATAATGGAACCTTTAAGGTGGAACACCTCTAAAAGTGGAACACCCCTGTTAGCAGCCCTTTTCAGATCCCAAGACCAACTGACCAATGAAGTTGACCCAAAGAAGTACCAAAGGTGTTCCAATTAGACAGGTTTTACTGTTTATTTAACATGTATTGTCAGAGATACATGTAGCTTATTAAATAAAGTACTCATATTCTCAATTAATGCCCAGGGGCGGAAACATTCGCAAAAAGGATCAAAATTGCTTCAGCCCAGAAAAAACAGAAATGGCAAACAGAGAATTGGAGTAAACTTGACATGATGTCAGAAATATGACAAAAGGTAAGATATTGGTCAACATTCATGCCTGCATTTATTCATGATACTATTGGGCAAGTATGAAGGCCATGTTTCAACTTTGCGATTGATAATATCTATCGAAATAAGCCCTCGCTGGAAAATTACTAATTATTTTAATTAAGTATACGCTCACCCCCCCTTTATACAAAGGCCCATGGGTATAATTTTGAGTTCTTTTAAAGGTTTGCTCTGTGCAAAATAAACGCACACTGGGTCCTGCTCAATTCTTGTTGAACTCTATTTCCCTTTAGTGGATGGGCTTTGAAATCTAAATTGAAAGACCATGGTGCATCCATTTCCAGAGGCACAGGAATTCGTCTAGAAGGAAAAAGAAGTCAATAGAGCAAGCCTTGTTTGTTTGTTTGTATCCTTTATAGCTTTATAATGGATATAGTCCTGAGTAAGGACATTAGCGGTTACCGTTAGTGATTTGGTTTTCTGAATAAAAAGTCATTTTCTCCTTCCCTACCCCATTGGAGCGCCATCTAGCGTTTGGGAAGTGAATCGAGAATAAATATTTATAGGGTAGGTCCTAATTTATCTGAAAACATGTCAGAGTTCAGTGGGAAATCTCATTTTAAGCTGGCGGCGGAGTGATTTTGACCTTGGTGATTTTACCAGAATTCTCTGAGAAATCTGACGATAGAGGGGGTTAGTGTCTTCAAGTTTATTTATTTCAAAAATTCGGTGGACAACCCATGGTAAGATTGTTATAGCAGGCTAGGCGAGTCTCTCCCGAACACTGTGGTATGTTGCACTAGGCTTGGATACTAATCGTTAATAAGATACAGGGTAAAATGTTATAATGGCCACCTATGGGAAACTCTACTGTGATCTTCAACCAATGCCGCTTATTGAGCCTCGACTCAATAAGCACAGAATACTTCCTTGTGTTCCGGAGGTAAAGTGAAACTGTCCTTGAAAACAACAATTAACAACAACAAATGTAGATGGAGATATGAACTCATATTCTTGAAAGAGAGTCACAAAGTTATATTTATATTTTTTGGTAATAATATTGGACTGTGTTCCTTCAAAGTTCACCTCTGGAAAACCTAAACTCTGAATAGAAGTATGTATTGTGTATTTATATGATACTGAAATGACCTAATATGCACTTCAAAGTGAAGAAGGAACTCTTAACTATGTACTTACCAATTAGAACAGGAATATTTATGCGTAACGAATGTGATTTCGAGCACTAACTATCTAAAGTTGGTTTTGTAAGATGGAAAAAGAAGAAAGTTCCTACTCGTTTGAAGAACCGGAAGTGCAATTTTCGAAAGCATTTTTGAACCAGAATTCACATTTCTTTTAGATTATTGCTCTTCTCAGGACGGTAAGTATTTTCCAAAATTAAATGGCAAACAAAGTGTGATCAAATTTAGCATTTTTATGATTTAAATCCACTTACAATGCATAAATTTTACGCGAATCGGAACTGATATTGAAAAATAAATTGAAACACGAACTCAACACGACACCATTGCTCAACACTGACAGTTTTTCATTTTGAAAAACGATAGTTCCAAATAGAGATCTTGGAACATTAATTAGCAAATTCAGTTCTTTTAGTTCCATAAAGTGCATAATGTTATGTACATTCTTCTTCCTTTAGATTTCTGCATTGGCGTCAGAAGGGGGAGGGCGTTGGGGGCGACCGCCCCCCCTTCCCATTTTTTAGATTTGAAACCGAGCCTACAATTGGAAGCTCTAGCGCTAATTAAAGTCAAAGTGTAATAATGACAGAAATGATACTATGTCAATATTTAGTCTACTTCAAGCATAGGAGATCTCATTTCCCATAAATATTATATTTGATTCTTTCTATACCATGTAGTTTCTCAGGAACCCATACAGTATGTAAATACTTTGAAAAATAAGTGCAAAAATATTTTAGTAAAAATCAAAGTTTTTTTAGTCAAAGTCAAGTTAAGGTAACTTATAACTAAATCAAAAAATCCAAGATGGCTGAAACCAGGAAGCACATGGCATTTGAGTATAATCTGACCATCAAAATTAACTGTCTTTTGGTTGGATTTTCTCTCAATTTTTTAGTTCCACTTATCATTTATATAACCAGGCTCACTGTGGTAATGCAAATAGAAACAGTAAACATTTTGGAATGGGAATTTGAGTCCTCTGAAAATGTGACAGAAAAATTGACAAAAAGAGTAGCACGGCAAAGGTCCCTGAACATTTTTTTTTCTAATTTCTCTGAAACATCCCTTTAATATAGCCCAAAATCGAAGGAGCTTTAAAATTTTGAAATCTCTCATACAAATTAAAAAAAATAGAAAAAAACAATTTGAGAAGTGTACTTTTTTCCTTATTTTGATCCCAATTTTTTTATCGGGTAATTTTTCAAATTTCCGTTGCTCCTTCGTTTTTGATATATGTTTGAAGTATATTTTCTGAAATGTTCAGATATTTTGAATCAGCGGTTTTTCACGGGCTACTCCTAGAAAAAAATCTTCTCAAATTCTTTAAACGGCACTTTTTTCTCAAACTAAAGTTTTTTGTTGTTCTTTGATGTCTTTGTAATGATTACAGTGCACAAGCATATGTGAAATAATAAAAACGACTTCTCAGGAAGAGTTTGAAAATTTCAAGATTGTGAAATTTTCAATTTTTTCTGAAAATCGATTAAGTTATCAGTCACCTTAAATTTTTCTAAAAACATATTTATTTTTCTTGTTTTTATTATTGGGAATGTTGTGCCGAGCTACGCTCAGAATGCACCAGAGAGGGTCTAAAGAAAAGTTTCTGGGAGCATGCTCCCCGATCGCATTTCACGCACCACCCATCCATACCCAAAAGTCGCCCCTCCCCTTGGCAAATCCTTCTGACGCCTCTGTTTCTGTGTCTGTCTGAAACTGTTGGCACTGTAATGCTGACTTTGGGCACTTGCTACAGTTTGTCACTAGTATTAAAATGCTTGTCACTGGTGCTTTTCACTTATACTTTGTTTATTTTTGGAGAGAGAACGCTATTAATTTGTGGGTATTAGGAGTTCCTGAAAACTCATTTTGTAATCGTAAGATGATTTACTTGCATCATCTATAACAGGAAATAGAGTCATTATCTCTTCTATGTACACTTCTTGTGTTAAAATCTCTTTGTAGAGGCTAAAAAGCCTGGAATCTCTGTAGTATCCTGGTGTTGATTTCAATGTTGATATCCTTATCTAGGCCAGTGAGAGTTTTGATGTTGATACATGGAGTATACTTGGCCCCTAGAAGTAGGGTGTTTACTTCTGCCATAAGTTGTTCTCAGAGATGTTGCATTGAGGACAATTAGGAGAGATTACATATGGGTTGATCTTATTCTGATGGCTGTTAAGCTTGGTATGACCTGAATCCTGATATGATCTGATTTATCAAAGTGCTGGATTTTCTATTACCAATAGCTAGAATGGGCTTTTTTCTTGGACCATGGTGATACTTGATTGAATATGACTGACCTTGGCAGAATTATTATATCTTCTCTGCCATATTGATAGGGAGTTGTCTTTAATGTATTTATATGCAGCTGATTTGGTTGTCTTAGCTCAGCTTTGAGTCTGTTTGTCTCTTTTGCTTCTTTCTTTGCTGATGTATCTGCCAGTTCATTCCCTGTTATCCCAAGATGACCCGGAACCCAGTGGATATTGATGATTTTGCCCTGGCTGGAAAGTATTTTGCATTTCTCTCTAATAATCAAGTTTAGTGGCATTAAATGCTGATGTTACAGCAGGTTGACAGTCACTTAATATGATGATATTGTTATTAGTCTTATTACTGAAAAGGAATTCCATCGCCATTCTTAGAGTGAGAATCTCAGCCTTGTAGTTGTTTCCTTTTTGTATCCCTGGTTTTTTACCAAACAGATTGGTGTACAAGTTCAGCCAACAGCCATTAATATAAATTATGGCCGCAGCTCCAGTTGGTCCTGGGTTACCCTGTGCTGATCCATCTGTGAAAACAATTGTGTCATGTATAGTTGTATTGCCTAAGAGTATTTCTACGTACAATAGACACAACATCTCCAGATCGACAGTGGGAACTCACAACATAATAAGTTATTTCCGTATGAATTACAGAATCTTTGTTATTGCCTGCTGTATGGTGTATTTTAGCGACGTTTTACAGCCAATTTCAAATTTTATTTTCTGTTTTGATTGACTTCCTCACTTCCATATTGGGCCTCTCAAGATTTTGCCTACATTTTAATGGCTGGAAACACAGAAACAGGAATAATAACAGAAATCTGGGTTGTGTAAAAAAAAGGTAGCCAGATGACTAGGTACCTAATGTTCCTAGCAGGGTTACCAAATTTCAAAGCTACACATTTTCTCCTGATATATTAGCCAATTGACTTGTCGAGCACTAAATAGATATAGCCTCCCAAGTATAGACACTGTTCCATATTCAAACGTTAAAATTTTGTCAAGAATCTATAAGAGACAGAGCAATTTTTGAAATAATTGACTTTTTAATTGGGAAATAAAAGATACATACGTAACATACATATATACAAGTAGTTTAATACACTTTTTATGATTAATATGTACGAAATCCCATATCATGGCTGTTAAAAAAACAAAATAAGTAGAGGGGGAGGGGGCAATTTCCACTAGAAATTAAAATGCATCTGGAAGATTTGTGCATGTAAAGACTTGAAATGCTAATTGCCATTTTTTATCTTTCAATTAACGTATGATGATGTCAGATGCTTGATTTATTACCTGAGTGGTTGATAAGATTTCAATGATTGTTTCCTCCTATGGCGATTTCTATTAGATATTAAACAAACCTGGAAGATTTATGCATGCATATATTGGAACGTTACAGTTTTTTCTGTCAATTCACGATTAATATATGGCGTTAGTTGCTTGATTTATTGCCTGAGTGATTGACATGAAATCAATGATTGTTTATTTTGCTGATTGGTTGGTTTATTAGAAGATTGATTGGTTGCTTGGTTGGTTGTTTGCTTAATTGGTTGGATGCCTATGTCGAGTTTGGGGTCAGTTGGGTGGTTGGTTGCTTGGATTGTTTATTGGCACATGTTGGGGCATAAAATGAAAAAACAAATTCCAAACCCTGCTGGGAAGGTTAGGTACCAGGCCACCCAGTTACCAGCCACCCAGTTTTACTACCTAAACCCCAAAAAATTAATCAGGGTTTGTCTTATTTTTAGGCCCATTTATTGCTTAATTTGTCAAAGTTTGATACTGAATCATGGTTTACCTGCAGGGTAAATATAAAACATACAACTGAGATTTTCTTCAACATTATTTTCCATTTTTTGAATGTCACTTAGACACTACAATGTCATGTTGTCGTCAGTTGCAAGGGCGGACATATCAATACATTCATGAAGTTATGATATTTGATCCATACCCTTACAACCATGGGATGAAATATTATTTTAGATATTCAATGATTAAATTCAGAGTTTGAATCCCACAGCTTGAAAATATGTTTCCTTCACATGGATGAATATTTGCATTATTGAATAAATATTGATAATCTTCTTAAGTGTGCGATACTGTTCACCCTGTGTCAGTATCTAAACTGTTCACATTGTCTCTTGTATTTAGAAGAAATAAGAAAATAAGCAAAATCATTGTACTCTATAGGTTTTTAATACAGAACATGTACTTTCAGGAAGAACTTTGGAACACTGATGAAACTGAAGACATGACATGAGCTTCAGCTAACATCTGTAATCTGTGTATGAACGATCTGCAACATGATGGAATTTAGGTACTTACCTTTTGGCTTTTACATCAACAAATTAATTATTTAAATTTCATGATTAAGTATCCACTACATTTATACACTTGATTTATGCTATTTCTCTACCATTCGGTCATAATTTAGGGCAAATAGAATTGAATAATCTTGTAACTAATTGCCTTGTACCTTTCATTATAAAAACACAAAATTGTCATATCTCAAACATTTTACAATTTGTGACAAGTATGACGTTTTTTTATTTTTCAGATTTGTGTGAAAGTGACAAATATCTACTCAAACCATCCAAGATTCATCAAAACATAATACTTTAGAAACCATAAACAGTTTAGATTTCACACAATGTCTGGTAGGAGGTCTTCTAGAAACAGAGACACGACAGATGCTACTGTCAAGAAAAATAATGTTCAATGTGATGACAATGTTGATGGTGATGACATTACCGTTGAAACTGTCTCAAAGATATTACTGTTTAATGAGGCAGATAATCAGTATGAAAACGCAGGAGATAAAACTAGGCGTGGTAAAACAACACTTTCAAGAGAAGATAGGAGAAGAAAAAAGATGGAGGAAAAAGAAAAGTTGTTGAAAGATAGATCACATGCTGTAAACAAGCCTGAGTCCTCATTAGAAAATCAAACAGAACCAAACAATGAAGTACCTACAAATAAAAGAAAATCATTAAAGGCTGGAAAGTCAAAAGGGAAATCGGGTCAACAGGATTCTGTTGACCCAAGTGGAAAAGACAATGAAATTGCCACTCCCATTGAAACTGTGCCTAAAAGACCTGGAAGACCCCCTAAGTCCTCAAAGAGAACTCAGTTAATCCCAAAGGAAACAAAAAAGGATTCCGAAAAGCAAAAAGATAATAAAGACTCTGATCTCTCCAATGACCTTAATCTTAGTCGCAGACCAACTAGGGGAAGGTCGGCCCAAAAGACTCAGTCCAATGGAGTTGATGACAAGGCTATACGTGATGAATCTATAAAGAGTCCTATACATGATGAATCTATAAAGAGCCCTATACATGATGAATCTATAAAGAGTCCTTCAGAGTATGAAGAAACCCCTCCCAGAAAGAGTAGGAGGAAATCAGCTTCTCCTCGTAAAGCTGTAAACTCACATGAACCAGTTGAACTTGAAAATGACAGTTTTGAAACGGGAACAATTAACTTCCCAATATCAAATGGACTTCCCTCTAAAAGGAAAGCTGGTAGATTAAGAAATTCAACTGATGGTGTGTCTAATTCTATTGAGCCATCTGAATTACCCAACCATGTCGCCCCTGATATTGATATACCCATTGATCAAGGAGTTAAAAGGAAACGAGGTAGACCAAAGAAATCCCTACCAAACATAGGCAGTGATTCTGTCCCTTTAAAAGGTTCTAATCTTGGCTCACCATCTAATGTGAACTTTCTTGAATATCAGGGGAACTCAGTAAATGATTCAGGTAAAAAGAGAGCTGGAAGGCCAAAGCAAGGAAAAGGAAGACCAAGTAAGGAATCAACAAACTCTAAGCAAGCAAATACATTAGTCGAGACTCTTGATGGATCACAAATTGATCAACACGTATATAACAAATGGAAAAGTGAGCTGGTAGCCATCAAAAAATGTAAATGCCCAATTTGTAAGGTATGCACGCGTTCAACCATAGACGCCATGATTGTGCATTATAAAACTTGTACCCCCATAGACACGGACTGTAAGCTTTGCACTCCTGTAAAACCCTTTACTACATTGCCAGGGCTGAAATATCATTTAGCTGTAGTCCATGCAAAGCTCCACACAAACCCTAAAAATCTAAATGAAGAAGAAATTGAAGAAAAGATCTTCTCGATGCTTCATTCTAAAATCAATTGCCCAAACTGTCAAAGCGCATTCATATCTCTTTCAAGATACAGGTATCATAAGACGATATGTGGACGAGAATACGACAATATGAACTGCCCCGAATGTAAAGTCAGTTTGATGGTTATAGAACTGAAGGACCATTTGTTCAAAGAGCATAAAATAGGAACTCCTGATTCTGATGCCTCTGATGTTGAAGCTGAATCAACTGGACCAAAGGAATTCATGGCCAGTGGCGCTACAAAGAGGGGTGCTGCCAAAAGAGCTATAAAGACAATGAAAACTCTAGGACAAGATGATGATATGGGCGAAGGTCCAAAAAAGGAAGCAAAGAACAAGAAAAAGAAAAGCAAAATCAAGTTAGAATTTGAGGAAAATGTTAGTGATAGTGGTTCAGAGTATGATGTCGGAAAGGATAAAGAAGAGTCCACAGATGATGAATCTCCTAGTGAAGTTGATGAAAGTGATGATAATAATCCCCCTAACTCTGATGATGAGACCCCTAGTGCTAGAAAAACAATCAGGATCAGGTCCTCAAAAGCTCAAAGTTCAGTGGAGAGGAAATATAAATATAAAGCCAAATATTGGGTGAGACAAATGCCTCTCCAGTCCTCAAATTTAGGACGCAGCTTGGAAAAGCAGTTCCAGAAACTGTATTACACTGAAGTAGTACCTATTACCCAGTGGCACAGTTGTATTGATGATTGGTCAACAATTAGTCCAGATGAACAACAGTCATACCTTCCTATGCAGACTAATGTCAGTTTTGGTGTAAAGGAAACATCTGGTCCTATAGAAGATGTGTGTTTATCCAGATTTGGTGTGAATCGCAACAAGAACTGTGTGTCTATATTTGCAGGAGGTCCTGTCTGGTCTTTGGCATGGTGCCCTACCCCTGTCACGGAGCCGAATGCTACTCAATACCTAGCTGTAGGGTCGCACAGGGATGCTAATGAAACGTATAGCTGTAAGTACCAATCTAGTAGCAATGGTATGATTCAGATCTGGAACTGTGGAGCTTTACATTCCAAGACGCCTGACTCAGTTACTCCCAAGCTTGTTATGACTATAGCACATGAATGGGGAGGTGTGTGGGCCATGAAATGGTGTCCTTGTGGTGCCTGGGAAAAAGCAGATTCTATGGACACACCAAACTTGCCACGTCTGGGACTCCTGGCTCTTGCATGCTCCGATGGAATGGTTAGAATCATCAGCATCCCTCATCCAGAATTTCTGAACGATTCCAGTTCTAGTCAGGATCAGGTTAATACAGACAACTCTGAGTCTACGAATCCACCAATGTACAAGGCCAAGAGTATCGTCGAACTGAGACCTACAGCTTCAAGTACAAAGTTTGGCAACTGTTTATGCTTGGACTGGGCTGTTCAGGATAACGCTGCCATCATTTGTGGCAGCTTTGGAAATGGCTTTGTATGCCTCTGGAATATATACAGCACAAGCCCTCTGATTACTTCAGGATTGGATACCAAGAACCCCACCCTTTTACCTTATAAGGTATTCCAAGCAGAATGCTTCCCCTTGAAGGCTATCGCATTTTGTCCCCAGAATCCACGTTATTTAGTCACTGGTGGCCCCGACCAGCAAGTTCGATTTTGGGACACCATGCAGACGTCATTTCCTGTAAAGGAAATCCTTGTTGGTCCAATCACCAGCATTTATTGGCCGCATTACCTTGGTACAGTTTTCGTAGTTTGCGAGGATGGCTTCGGACCTGCAAGCGGCTTATTCAGCATTATTTGGGAACATGGAGATTTTGAGTGCAATCGCTTATTCACAACATCATGCAGCATGAACCAAGTGGTACATAACCATTGGTTGGATACGGTAACCGTAGCAACTGTTCCAGGTTCCATATTTGGTTATATACCGACTGGGGAAGAAACTCCGATTCGCTTTCGGTATAAATATGATCACAACAGGAAATATTTACTCTGTAAAACCTTATATGAAATACTTCCATCCGCAAACAAGGATACACCAGGGCCTTCATCTGGTAGTACAACACCAAGGAGAAATCCACCAGAAAGTAATACTGACACTGACAGTGTAACAGATAGTATAGAAAGTGAACCAAATAGAAAAGAAAAGGAATCAACCAGTCATAAAATATCCATGAATTTGACTCTAGAAGATAGTAAACTGAGAGATATGCAAAGTTCAGTCAAGTCAATTAATGAGTTTATCAATAAAAGCAGTTTGTCGAGTGAGCTTCCGACATGTACGTCCATAAACAGAATCACGTGGAATCCCAACTACAAAAGTTGCCACTGGTTAGCATCAGGAAGTGAATCTGGAATTTTACGATTACATTGTGTTTCGGGATTTCTTCCACCAAAATAATCTCATGAATTGTGACAGTTATATTAAATAATGAAAAATATCATCAAATAACATCAAACAAGCTTCCCAGAGGCTGAGAAATGACACGAAAACAATGAATTACATTAAATGTGTATTCACTTTAATACACGTACATCAAAAGTGCAATTTGGAATTTTAATTTGCTACAGTAAACATCCATGGACTAAATAAGAAAATTTAGAAATCGTTATACAATCTCTATTGATGAAGGCTGCCAATTTGCCTGACCAAAGTTGGAAGTGAACTACAAATTGATACCTGCTGCTGGAGAAAACTAACTAGACATATTGCAAGATTAGATAAAGACTGCAAGCTGACTGACAATGTAGAAGGTACATGAACTGTTGTTAATATACTAATTAGTGGGCGGGTATGGAAATTGATAACGGGACCCGAAAATATTTCTTGAAAATTCATTCATCTACTCTGCATGTTTTTTTTTCAAAATTTAAGGCCTATTGAACTGGTGGATCCAGAAGCTAACAAGTGGGGTGCTCAAATTTTGAGCCAGGAAAAAATTTGGGCCCCTGAAACAAAATATTGAAATTAAGGCCCATGTTTTGATAATTTTGCTTAAGAAAGGCCTGGAAATGCCAAATTATGCTCACAAAGGCCCATTTTTGAGGCCCTATAGTATTTTTGGGCAACAATTTCTAGTGTAAACCAATATGTCAATTATAATTCTCATATGAACCGAACTACTAATATAATGTGACTTCCATCTATTGTGAATATTTCCTGTCAGCTCTTAATCATCATGTAATGTAACAGCCATATTAGCCAGTGTTCACGTTTTATTCTACTCGAAAATGTACATCTGACCATGCCTTTCTATTATACGTTTTCCAGTATCCTCTGTAGATGGCTGGGGAGTGATTATGTCAATAAAGTTACATTTTACTCTGTCCATCAAGACTGTGTGACCTCAAATATTACAGGTATTATAAATGTGTGTTAGGTTTTTGTATATTTACAGTGATCTCCCCGGAATTTTTTCTCAGATGGGTGCAAAATTATCATTATCACAATTCAGACCAAAATTGGTCAAAATATTCCAATTTTTCATGATTTTTCTCATTTTCAAGTGGGTTGTGCAGATGTTTTTTCAAGTGGGTGCAAGCCTATTTTAAAAATCTCAGGTGGGTGCTGCGCCTACTTGGTTTAATGCTGGGGAGATCACTGATTTATATGGGAAGAATATAGTGCAAATTAGATATGTCTACAGTCAGACCTAGCACTAGTCTTCAGACACATCTACGAATTCTATGAGGCCAAGCTAAAACATGTTATTTATATCTATGATTTTTATGTCACCACCACAAGTGTTGACCTATTGTTAGTCTCCAACCTTTTGTGGAGGGTGTTTGGTGGTCATCAATCAGTGGTTAGCATCTGTGAAAATGGCAGGTGGTGACATTTTGCATGTTAATGCCTTGTTGTAAAATATTATTATCACTTGTGGTTTGTCATGTTTTATTTTAAGTCAAATCATCTTTTCTTTCAGAGAGAATGTCCATTTCTACAGGGCAAGAACCATCTATCATCTACATGTAATATGCCTACAATAGCCAACTCATGATACTTCAGATGGATTATTTCACCAGCTTCCAAAAATACAACATACATGTACTTAAAAGGAAAAGGAAATTATTACAGTAAAACCTTTACAATCCAAACTCCTCTAAGACTGGCTAAAAGTGTTCGGTTGGCACTTGGCAGGTGTTCAGATTTCAAGGTTTTCTTACTCCAAAGTCTATGGCAGATTGACAATTGGACCGACAAAGCGTTCACATTGTGAGGTGTTCCAATTAGAGATGCGTTTCGATATACAGGTCTTACTGTATATTGACAACATATTGAAATAGTTATTCGGGACATATCATCATGTACGGAAAATCTCAGAACAAACCCATACAGTGTTGTATTCCCATTTAGAAGTTTTCAGGCTGAGACTTGTATGTTTTCCTAATTGCAGTCATTCGGCAGCACTAAGGGCCTAAGTATAGGCAACAAGGTCCACATTTTTGCTTAATATTTGATGAATCATTTTCCACTCTGATCCTTTTTAAATCATGGACAAATGTAAGATGCATCTGTTTTAAATTGCTTTAATTTGGTGGATTGGGCAAATTTTGAAACTTTGGGGTTATTTAATTTGGCGGATTGGGCGAATTTTGATCTTTTGGCTGCTATTGAATTTGGCGGATTGACCGTCATCAATCATATTACTCATTTCAGCTTTTCACTGATAACGCAACCGATAAACCAGCAGGGACTGTGGATCTTCTAAGATTGACATTTTATCCAAATTTTATTGTGCAAAATAAAACAAGGAAAATGCAATGATTGAAAATCCTCGGGAATATATCAAAAAATTGGGGGAGATTTGCTTTGGCAGTTTTTGTCAATCCTCCAAATTAAAATTGCCATCAATTAAAGCAATTTACAATATTTGAAATTGATCAGTCATCTATATTATTTTGGAATTATTGATCATAAGTGCCCATCAAAGTGCACCGCAGGGTGCTTTGTCGGCTTTTTAGACTGAGGATAATTGAATACCATACAATCATTACTTTTATCGCAAAATATTGTTATCTTGTTCTGCTTGGTGTGCATGCCTCTGTTTATTATTGTATTTCTACTTTTTTGAGCAGAAGTGCATTAATTGATACAAGATTAAGTGAATCCCACATAACCTGACCTGTACATTTTTGTCTTTAGTGAATATACTATAGAGGAATAAAGACTGATATCCTATGATTTATGGTGCAATATGACCTACATTTTTATTCTGTTCAATGGTAAAAGACCAAAATTGTGTAGCGATTCGATTGATGTTTTTGGCATTTGTAAGAATCAAATTGGAGGTCATATATTTGCCATAAATTATAGAATCGAGGCAGAGGGGGAGAAACACCAGGGTTCAAAGATGACATACGCTTATAATGTAAATCTGTATTGAGATGACATCGTCGCTGATTGGTCAAAAGTCGACAAACAAATGACGTCATCAATGGTGGTTTCAAAATTTTCGAAATACGCTTCGAATAATATTATGTTCATTTCTGGCGTGTCAACCAATATCATAGCTTCTCATTTCACATCAAGATAAAGAAAGGTGTACGGAATATGCCTATATCAATTAAAACATCCCATCGAAGTGTAGTATTTGACAACTAGCCGATGAAAATTTGAACGAACAAAGGTGGTAAGCAAGAGAGGTAATTATGTCTGTCATCTTTAAACTCTGGGGCTTTCCCTCCTCTTGAATCGAGGTCTTTGTTACGATTCTAATACGATAAACGAACCAGAAAAGCAACTATTTGTATTTATGAATTTTAGCAGTCATACATACTCGAATATAGACCAGTAAATCAATTGCTCTAATTATTGAAACGTGTATGTATCATATTAGAATAATAATGTAAGCATGGGAACAGATGTTAAATGATTCAAAATGGGTGTCTATTCTGGTAAAAACAGGAGAAATTGCCTGCATGCCTGCTGCTATTTGCCAAAAATAAGATATTCTAATTAAGAGAGGAAAAGAGTATACTGTAGTACTGGAACCTAGTTTCAGGTATGTAGTCTGCTTTTGTCAAGGGTGAGGAGGTGTGGGACTGGTTTTTATCGCACTTTGAAAAAGTGCTATATTGTCGTCGTCTTGTGCTGTTGGGCGGGCGTGCGGTCGTGCGGGCGTGCGGGCGGCACATAAACCAAATCTTGTCATCAAATTTCCAGGATAACTGCTTACCTGTTCAACTTGAAATTTTTACAGATGCAAGAGCAGACTAGTACCAAGATCTGATTAGGTTAAGGGCATGCTGGGTAAACTACGTGGCGGCCATTTTGAATTTTTCAACAAATCTTGTCATCAAAATTCCAGGAAAACCACTTATCCGTTCAACTTGAAATTTTTACAGATGCAAGAGCAGACTATAGCCAAGATCTGATTAGGTTTTGGGTATGCTGGCTGAATGACATGGTGGCCATTTTGAATTTTTCAATTTGGCGGCCATTTTGAATTTTTCAACTTGCTCCAAATTGACCAAATTTTTTTTTTAAAAACATCTACAAGTTCTCAGAAGTTCAAATCTGACCTTAGATTTCAGATTTGACCTTTCGTTCACCTTCAGTGACCTTCAAAAGGTCAAAAAAGTTGATTTTCTAAATTGATATTTTGGATTTAAATTTAGGTCAGCTTAATTACAAAACACCTACTGAGGTCTGAAAAAGTGAAATTTTCAAGGTCGAAGGTCAGGGTCATTAAACTAGGTCACAAATTATGTTATCCAAGTTTCTCAAAGTTTGAGACTACAAATCAATTCTTGTCATCAAAATTCCAAGAAAACCGCTAACCTGTTCAACTTGAAATTTTTACACATGCAATAGCAGACTAGTGCCAAGATCTGATTAGGTTAAGGGCATGCTGGGTAAACTACATGGCGGCCATTTTGAATTTTTCAACAAATCTTGTCATCAAAATTCCAGGAAAACCACTTATCCGTTCAACTTGAAATTTTTACAGATGCAAGAACAGACTATTGCCTAGATCTGATTAGGTTTTGGGTATGCTGGCTCAATGACATGGTGGCCATTTTGAATTTTTCAATTTGGCGGCCATTTTGAATTTTTCAACTTGCTCCAAATTGACCAAATTTTTTTTTAAAAAACATCTACAAGTTCTCAGAAGTTCAAACCTGACCTTAGATTTCAGATTTGACCTTTTGTTCACCTTCAGTGACCTTCAAAAGGTCAAAAAAGTTGATTTTCTAAATTGATATTTTGGATTTAAATTTAGGTCAGCTTAATTACAAAACACCTACTGAGGTCTGAAAAAGTGAAATTTTCAAGGTCGAAGGTCATCAAATTAGGTCAAAAACAATGTTATCTAAATTTTCCCAAAGTTCAAGACTACAAATAAATTCTTGTCATCAAAATTGCAGGAAAACCGCTAACCTTGTCAACTTGAAATGTTTACAGATGCAAGAGCAGACTAGTGCCAAGGTCTGATTAGGTTTTGGCCATGCTGGGTTAATTGCATGGTGGCCAGTTTGCTCTTCAAAGTGCGATATTTATCACTGTGTGTCTTGTTAAAAAATTCCATGGAGTTCAGATTTGGCAATTTTGGCTCAAAAAGGGGAATCGTTCTCGGGAACCTCCCCTGGCTATGGGTTTGAGTCTGATGCAAATGTATTTGTTTAAGATCTCAATTTAAAGTCAATTCAGCTTTATTGTGTCATTTTATTCCTTTTCAAACATATTTTTGAGCATTGAATGAATTCTGCCACTTTTAAATGGTGTCTCTTGTCAATATTGACTCATTAAGGGTGTATCTGGAAAGTTTGAAATGCTAGGCAGGAGATTTAAAACTTAAATTATTTTGAAGTATTTGCAATGTACAATATGTAAATATTGTTCATATTATTAATTTATTTATTTTTGTATTAAAATAAACTAGAATTGATCAATAGAAAATAGATGTTTTGTGATGTTGTGATTTTTTGTGTGTAGTTAACATAACTTTAACACTGTAAATTGTTTTTTGATTTAATAATTAAATATGGGTTTGTTTGGAGGAAGTTTATGCATGAGGGTATCATATAGGCTATGTGTCAAAGTCTCAAGATTACTCACTTCACCCACCCTAATTGGGCCAGGAATGGATACAGTGTAAAATGTTTGAAGTATATTTTGTTCTCCATCTGTTCATAGATCCTTTTTATTAAAACACCCATAATTATATCTGAAAATGATTTGAAATAGCTGAGGAATCAATAGAATATCCTAGATGCGAGTAGAAATAATCTTGATATACGTCATTAAATATTCAAAATTCAGTCAAGCTGATGTCATATTTGTAAAATTACATCTAGAAATGTGGTTTTGAAAAGAGTGTATCAACTTTGAAACTTTAATTTTCTTTGAAAATGTGACTTCTAGGTAGGGGAGATTCCCCATAGACCCCATGTTGTAAAACCACAAAAATTGAAATATCTTTTCTTGTGTTGGGCAGATATTTTCTTTTACTGGACATATTTTAATTTGTATAACTATCACATACATAAGGGTAATATGAAAAATGAACCAATAAAACGGATGAATATTCAAGTTTAAGGGAATTTTGTAATACCCTGCCATGTTATTTCCCCCGAATCAGCCACCTGGTGGCGAAACTGGTAACTACATACTCACATCTGAGTAATTGAAAAGGGTCAACCACTTTTACCCATAAAAAGTCGTGGCATTTCATGAAATAGAGTCAGAACTCAGAAGAAAAACCTGACATCTTGCTGGGGTGTATTAAAAAATGTCAGTCTTCTCATCTCTATATTATTGCTTCTTTAAGGCATTCCAGAAAGTAAAGTAACATATATCTGAACATCTGCATTTTTTGAAAAGTAATGTCTGTTTTCTAATCATCAAGAATTATAGCAACAGTTAAAAGTATTGGTCTCCCCTTTTTATACAAGATGTTACATCTTTATAACAAAATGCTCCAATAATCGAGAATTCCTCACTTCAGCAACCTGGGTATTCATAGGCTGTAATGCAGCCTGGGTGTTGCTCGTGCCTTATGTAACATCTTTATAACTGGTTGGGGACCAGTGATAAATGGAACATAAAATAATATTTCAGTTTTTATTTTAATTTTATTTGAAATATATTTCTATAAGTTAATTTGGAATTTCATTCCACGAACAAAAATAAATGTCAAAGAATTACATAGTTTCTGCTTAAATATTTTATTATGAGATTTTCAAGCAACCATCTTAGTTCACCTCAATATAATTTCAGAATTTGGTACATCATATACCTAACAATGGTTAATTAAAAGTATTACATTTGGTTCTACGATCAATCTCTATTCCATGAAAAAATGTTGAACAGATTTACGTAAACAAATGATGGTGAGCTGATTAGAGAGATATAATATCCTTCCAATGCAAACCCCTTTTCATGAACTTAGCTCTGTCTTTGCAGCATTCTATGCAATTAAAAAATTTCCTGGGAGCAAGAGTTCCTAGCCTACAATCCACTTCAAACAGGTTTCTGTTAGAGAATGGAAACCGCCACACCCTCGGAAAAGCGCCTTTTTTCAAAACGTGTTTAACTACATTGAAATTCCCTTGTCTTTAAAAAATCTTTAGTAGTAGGACTGACTGGATTAATTCAGTCTTGAAGTACAAAGGTTATCTATAGATGACTTGATTGTTCATGTATATTGCCAGTTAAATTGAGTTCATTATTTTGAGACTGGAATATTCAAGTTTTACCAACAATACTGGAATATCCAAGTTTCACTGGTGATACTGGAATATTCAAGTTTTACCAGTAATACTGGAATATTTAAGTTTCACAGGTGATACTGGAATATTCTAGTTTTACCAGTAATACTGGAATATTCAAGTATCACTGGTGATACTGAAATATTCAAGTTTTACCAGTAATACTTGAATATTCAAGTTTCACTGGTGAGACTGGAATATTCAAGTTTGACCAGTAATACTGGAATATTCAAGTCTCACCGGTGAAACTTGAATATTCAAGTATTACCAGTTGAACTTGAATATTACTACAGTCTTGCTGGTGAAACTTGATATTACTATTAAAACTTGAAAGTTTCACCGGTGATACTGGAAATTTCAAGAATAAACAGACATGAATATTGTGTATTGTTAAGTTGCCTAGAGAAGTTTATAGGACTGGTTGACAAGTTTTATTCTTATTAAATAATGTAAAACATTGCAATAGGCAATGATGTTTTGTCTGCAATATAATGATTTTATGAACATAAATTCAGTATACCTTTGTAAATTATAACGATGTATAATTTTATTTTATTCTCATTCTATTTTTTCTAGTAGGCTAATTACATTGTTACAACTTCATTGTTAATTTGATACAATTTTTACTCATTCTATAATGCATTCATCTATGCCTGTATACTACATGCACTGTTTTTCTACTCCAACTGCGACATTGCCTTAACAATTGAATAACATAAACAGGCGTGTATAACACTTCAGATTATTAATTTATGTATGATTCTATTTACAAGGTTACTATGTCACTAGTCTACCAAGGACTTTTGACATTGTTTTGACCACTAGTTTTATTTCATTTAGCTTTTATTAGATAGCAATTGTAAATGTATATTTGATTCTATTTACAGGCTTACTATGTCACTACCAAGTAATGTTTATGACCACTATATTTGTCTCTCCATTTGCTAAAGTTTATTTTAGTGTAGAACTAAATTAGCCCTGCACTGTACATATTTTAAACATGGGAGTACATGTATTTATTTCAGATTATTTATTGATTTCATTCTATTTACAATTTAAATGTATAACCCTACTATGTCACCACCAAAGAATGGTGACATATTTTATGACTCCCATTTGATTTGTTTTGTTACCACCAAGGACATATTGTTATTGTCTCTTACTTTTGTCTCAGAAGTTCAAATCTGATATGATGTTTGACCTTCAATGACCTTCTCAAGGTCAAAAAAGTTAAAAACTGTATTTTTCAACTTGTATTATTTTCACCAATTTTTAAAAATGACTATAACTACTAGTTCTTAGAATTGACTTTAGATTTGAGATTTGACCTTCTCGTTGTAAGGAAAGCTCAACAAGTTTTTTTTTGTCTACAAGTTAGCAAAAGTTTAAATCTGACTTGGACCTTTGATGTCAAAAAAGGTCAAAACGGGTATTTTTCAACTTGCTTCAATCTTTAAAATTGCATTTTCCTTTTCCTCGTGTTTCTTATCCCTAAAATAACACTCAGATTAGTTGTTTGCTTGCTAAGATTTGGGTGACATTTATTCTTTTAATGCAAAATTTCATTTTTTCTACTTTTTAATTTCAGGTGCTTTGCATCCACAGCACAATCTCTTACTGTCACTCTACTAATAACCCATCACTGGACACCTCACCTACTATCCTCTACCTGTCCTACTTAACCTGCATGTGTGTTAGATGTAGTACAACTAAGGCAAACCTCACTATACTGCTATAAGCCTGGTGGTGGACCTATGGCATGTTTTGGCTTGCTTACCCTGTAGAACTTTCAATAGCCAATGTAATTAAACTATACATAGTTGACCATCCATTTTAATAATCAACAAGAAAATGTAGTTTACATTAACAAGATGGAATAATATTGACCATCATGATATTACAACAGCTGTATTGCAATCAATTAGTTTCCAACAATCTGTATTGTCAACTTTACAAACATAAATAGCAGTCTAAGTACTGAACTACTGTATATTATTGGAAATCGTTTGCTCTTTCAAGGATCACACAATTTTTTAGATGACTGTATTCACGCCTTATAAACTGTGAATAAAGTCAATGTTTCAACCGTGGTACATTTATATTTGAGTACAGTACCCCTAGTAAATGTGTGACGTCATAACGATGGGCCGTAATGGCAGACAATTCGAATTGTCGAATTGAATTCAAACTTGACAATTGCAGAATATTCGAATAATTTTGTTGAGTTTTCATGTTCGATTAGACTTCAAACATTCTCCAAATACATACTATTATATCAATTTTATTTTGACGTCACATATCATATAAGAATTAAAAGACCACGTGCAGTATGGCAAGTGATTTTAGACAGTCATATATTTCAACATGAGTATTTTCTGGCCATAAATACAATGGCTTTTATTAAAAAAATATGTTTTCTTTCAAGTGAAGTCCCCCATGTTACTAAAATATCAATCCAACTCTCTGAAAAATTATGGATTAGGGCCCCACTTTGGCACTTTTTGAAAAATGTTAGGCTTATTTTTTCAAAAGAGGATTTTTTTCTCAATTTAAACATAACTAAAGTCTCCTCTACACTATATAACAAATTATGAAAAGGGGATGGTTTTTGAAATGAGTTAATGTTAAAAACCACATACTGTATCCCATGTTATTTTCCCATAGGGAAAATTCCTGCTATCCATTGTTTTCAGCTTAATTTTGGTCATCGAAAATTGATATCTTCAAAACTAGACTTTCGATACCATTCTATTATTGAACATGTCTTAGACCCTTTGTTGAATAATGTTTTCATGCAATAAAAATCAGAAAAGATGATCCTCTTTTGAGTAAATAGGTTCAATATTTTGAAAAAAATGTTGACATGGGGTCCCTATTCATAATTTTTCGAATTGTTTGATTTATATTTTATCATCATGGGTACTTCACTTGTAAGAAAACATATTGCTTTAATAAAAACCACTGTATTTATGCCCATTAAGTACTCATGGTGAAAGATATGACCGTAAAATCACTTGCCATACTGCACGTGGTCTTTTAATATTGCAATTTTTGATTTCAATTGTCATGTACATGTATATTAAAGAAACTCCTCTGAATATTTGTATGCTGCATCTTTAGCATCTTTCGGCAAATTGTTCATTGGCGTAAGGTTAAAATAATAAAAAATTGAATCTGTTTGGATCATCTCCGTCCATGCTGCGATTGTTCTGCCTGTTCTTTTGTTGCAAGGTTTCCATGTCTTTGTCATGGAACCTTTGTACCATTGTACTGTTGTTGTTATTGGGTCTAAAATAATTAAATTAAACATGTTAAATAGAGGAGTATTCTGCACAGAGTAGAATTATGGTTACTATAAGACATCATAATACCCAGGCCAAATTTTTCAAGAAATTGTGATATCTATATTACTGAAGAAAGTATCTCATTCATTTATTACAATACAACATTTCTTTTTTGTTTTATTTTATTAGTTGTTTTGTTGTTAAGGTGTTGCTATACAACTCAGATTCAAGTATGATTCCATTATAATAGTATTTATTCAATTTCCTGGAAAATCAATCTGTATAACAGTCTGCACAATTCACGGTTGAGTTTTTGAAAATACCCAATATAAAGCAAGTCATCCACCTTCATAACGTCAGAATTAAAGACCACTGCAGCTATAGAGGAGCTAGGTCTTGTGGTTTAAGACCACGCGCCATAATCTTCTGATCAAGCCATATCAAATTTTTGCTTATATGGAGAATAGAATGCTAATCAGCGAGATAAGACTTTTAAAGATAAGAATGAGTTGTCCAATCGCCTAACATGTCCTCTAATGGGTTCACTCGAATGTGTTTGAGTCATGGATACAGAGTGCTACCCTTGTACTGGCCAAAGAGGAGCCTTCTTTTCAAAGTAAAGGGTACATAAAAATATCAAATGATGTAAAGTAAATGTAATTCCCACCAGTTGTTTCATTTCAACTTTGATATAGGATGTAGCCTACTCTGTAAGAATCTCTGTAACTTTCTGCGTTTAATGTTGCCACTGGTATTGTGATGTCATAGCAACCATAACTCTACCCAAGTTTAATATTTTTTGTCTAAACTTTGCAATTTTAGAAACAATTGCATTATGTAAAATTTTGAAGACGATTGGTGCATATTTCACAAAATACCAGCACCAGTCCTGTTACTTTTGGAACACTCTGTATGATCAATGCCACACCAAATGTACAAATATAGAACTGAAGAACTTTTTATCTTGTCTTATCTTTTTATTTTGTCACAATTTTTTTTCAACTTTTGCTTTTGAACTTGTGAAAAATAGAACATACAAATTTTCTTTTTCAAATCAATATCAGAAGTCAATGTTATTTTTCTTAATAAAATATCTCAATCTGGAGTCTTGAATTTCAATCTAGCCAAGCCTGTCCAAAGGGGATGTTAATTGATGGTGTCATTGCGACCTCCCCCCCCTATTTATTTAAAAAAAATATTTTAGAGTTTTTTTTGTTCAGTGTTTTAAGATGCTAATATTGCACTCAGATAAGCTCAGAATGTACTTATATTGCACTCAGATAAGCTCAGAATGTACTTATATTGCACTCAGATAAGCTCAGAATGTACTTATATTGCACTCAGATAAGCTCAGAATGTACTTATATTGCACTCAGATAAGCTCAGAATGTACTTAACCTTTCTTTCGTATGGGTTTTACCTAATTTTAAGTTAGATATCATACTGATTTTATAAAATATTGTAGTCTCTCAATATGGAGTCTAATTATGAATGTCAAAATCCCAATCTCACCGGTTTTAATCACTCTAGCAACCTGAGGCCATTCGCCTTGGTACTTCGGGATATCTGCTAGACAGAAGTCGCCTACATTCTTGCCCCTCCCTCTTTTACCGAATCTTACCTATTAGTAGAAATAAATTTTAGTCATTATTCTTGTACACAAATCAATGATACTTGATCAACCAACACACTAAGTTAAAATTTATAAACATCAAAAAATCTATTAACATTTTGATGTTTTACCTATTAAAAAAATAGTAATAGCCTGAAACTATATTTCAAATTCAATCTCGATGATTCTAAAAACAGCAACAAGAGGTTTAACTCAACCAATTTGGTTATATACAGAGTGTGCCAAATTTTTGAAATATTTTTCCATCTATTGTAAATTTTGCTAGTCACGTATAATATATCTATTCAATACTTTTTGAAACTGAAAAATGATTCATTTCCAACAGCTTGTGTGAATATGAATAAACTGAGCTTTATTTGACAGTCATACAAATGATTAAATTAAATGATTTTGAGGCATATTGTGCAAGATTTAAAAAAAGCTGAGAAAGTCACAGCTATATTATCCAAGGAAATGTGTCTTGCTCCTCCTAAGGATAACTTCATATAAATTATGTTCTAATTAATGGAAATTGTGTTGAGACCTTTAAAGGGTATATATTTAATATGAAATATACTGTATGTTGTGCAGTTTTTCCTCAAGCAGAGGAAATTTGGTAATTTTTCATGACACTCACAGAGTATACAGATACTGACCAGTGACCACGACAAGTGAAAAATAACTCTACATACAGGTTTTTATCTTTAACATTTTCACATAGAATCACTTTACAATCTGAATTTTTGTGGATTGAGCTGCAATGGTAAAGAAATTTGAATTAATAGAATAATGACTTATTGGCCCACTCTGTATTCTGTACATGTTGAAATTAAAAGAAGGAATATTGAACACTTACTGGTGGCATTTCCTTGTTTTCTTCTGTGCTGATGGTTGCGACAGGAACTTGTTGTACTGGGTTTAGGTTCATTGATGATTTTTCCAGCTTTTCAAAGATTCTGTTGTTTGTGGCCTGTTGTTCAAAGTTCTCTTCTACAATTGGATATGTCAGCATTGGGTTAAATATTCTATTATCATCAAAATCCTGACATTTAATTCATAGATTTATTGAACCAGGTTGTTTAAAAGATTATAAAGTCCGCTTGTAACACCTGAACTTAAGATTTTAACTTTTCAATTGTGAAAATGCAAGTTTCTCAAGAAGGAATACATGTACAAACGAGGCATTAACATGCAACATGTTCCATTTGTTGCAGATGCCAAACACTAAGCCATCTTCTACCACAAAATAGCAGGAGACTAGAATAATATGTCTTCTTAACGTTAATCATATTAACGCATTTTAACACTTGACACAGGTCCTTCAATAATTGTGTAGAATAGCCTATCAAATATAAGTACCTTCCGATTTCCTGATGTTGGTCAATTCCTCCCACCATTGTTTGTCCTCTTGATTGTGAATATAGCCTTGTATCTAAAATAGATGCCTTGCTATATATAATACAAACAAACAAATAACAAACATATACAAACATAGCTGGCAAGTCTATATTAAATATCTTTGTTTAACCAATGTATCAAATGCAAATACATCTCTTGTAAATATGCAGATTACATGTTCAATCTGGAGATCATATAATCTTTACAATATCATTGTTATCCACTTTTAATGATAATTAAAATTAAGTCAATTTTTGAATTTTACAGTGTTTTAACAAGTTAATGTTCATATTATAGTGTTCAGATATGACCCATCTCTACTCATTCGCTGCGCTCACTCGGGTAGATAAGCAATATCCACTCATTGATAAAAATGATCCCTCATAAATCATAGTATATATTCATACATTCATACAGTTTCTCTAATCAAAAAGCAGTGCAGATATCCAAAAAGTGACGATGTTCGCAGCACTTGTTTATAGGTAACATACTAGATAAATGATTTAAATTTTTCTTACATTCACATGAAGTTTATGACTTTCAAAATGCAAAAATAGTCATATCGATTGGTCATCTTGATCACCAAAACTGTGTAATGAAGCAGCAATTCCAAATTCTTTGCTCTGGAGAAAGGATGAATGCTTAGTTGTCGTTAAAGAATGGAGAATAGGACTGTCATTATAGACAAAATTTCCCTTTTAATAGGGACGTGCCTTAGTTTATGAAATATCATAAACATCACCTTGCAAAAATAAAAACTGCACCGCTTGTTTGCGTATAGCACAGTCTGTATAAAAAGTTAAATACCTTTTCATTCTGAATACCAGCTACAACTTTATCAAGGTCTGCTTTGCTATAGTCTGGTTGCATGTATTTTGGTTCACTGTCTGGTAATGATTTCAATAGAATGCCATTTCCAGGCCTCCTCCATCTCTACAATTATATACAAATGCTGTCAATGCACAATTTAAATAATTCATAACTTATATATATAACTGTACAGTACATTTACTGTTTATCAACATATGAAAAATCATGTAATTGTAGTCAGTGATCAGTGATACAATCGCCAAGTGACGAAGTTACAGACTTGAAAATAATAAATCAATTATCCAATCGTATAGTATACGGCTAGCTTTAGGGTCACTCATCATCAATCAGTCCATCATTTATTACTCAATTTTTATGATTCACTGGTTTTCATTGCTTACAAGATTAATCGGGCAACAAATATGATAGATCAGTTGAAAGCAACTTTGAAAAAACAAGATCACATACATGAATAACATGTCCCCACAATAGAAAAGACAGGTCATTAACATGACAAATGTCAACAAAGCTAGAGTTGATAAAACAATTGTTTGTTAGTTCAAAGTCTGATTTGAACTTCTGAGATGATAGCTGATCATGAAAAAAATAATAAAGGATTGGTATCGATATGGAGAAGTCAATTCAACAATGTTTTTCTCTTAAATCAAACATTGAAAACATTCTGTAAAAACAAGGTATTTTATGTAATGTTGACTGATTGACAACAATTTAAAAATACTTTATATAACTGTTTTTGTTTTAATTTTTTGTTTTTGTAGTGCAATTGTTTTTGCTCCTTTCTACCAATTCTTGAGAATGAAATAAAATGTCTTTCTGAACTTTGTTGGAACAAAATAGCATACAACATGTTTTTAGACCTCTCAATATTATAGTTAAACAAAGGAATTTTGGGTTGATTTCAGAACTTTTACATTATTTTGAAAAAATTGGACAATTTGAATGAAATGGATGGTGAAATAATAGTACTTCTACATAAAACAAGCTCCATCATCGCGATAGCCGCACCCCCTTTGTCTTTATCCTTCTCGCAAACGGCAGACAAGAGGGGCTCTGGCATACCAGAATGAAGCTCCATATATAATCATAATATATTTTTTAACTTATTTTAATAAGTTTAGTTTATGGATAACTCCTGTGGAAATGTAACCATTTACTTTGAATTTGGCCAGAAAACAAATTGAACCATCAACAGCCGAGAGCTATTTCATTGTTACGAAAGACTGGACATCAATTCCTCACACTTTTTTACTAACAATCTCAGCATGTATAGGCATGAAACCAATAATTGCCAAACCATGTGCGAAGCAGATATTTCACTGGGAAAAGTGAAATGAGTGAAGCATATTGGATGATTATAGCTGAATGAATTACCTCATCAGTAGACCACTCTTTGTAATACATTCTAGTGTGGCCATTTTCTTTGACAAATTTAAAACAGTGTGGCCGAGAGTGTCCATTTACATCTTCAAGGTGTGGGAAGATCCATCCACTAACATCATATATATTTTCAATCTGTAACATAAAAATGTTTTTAAAGAAAACCCTTTTAAAGCGGTGTGTTTTGGTTCAACCAAAAAAATCAGTATTTTCTATTTGTTGAATAATGGAAACTCTAATGCCCTATTCCTTAAATAATTTATAAATAGATGTGTGATTGAACCTCAAAGCAAAGACTTGTTTATTTACAATGTAATTCAGAGGTCATTTGTCCCTTTTTAAAGAACCTAGTATTGTAATATAATCAATAATATCTTGGAGGAAATAGTGCACTAGGATTTTTTATTGAATTTCTATATCAGGCTTCTGAGTATTTCCTTGTGTTTTTTGTTGTAGGCCTAAATTTGTCAAAATGTGATTTACCTCTGCTGCTGTGGGTTGCATCGTTTCAACACATCGCTCAAAGGCATTCATGAGTCTGGGAAGTGTTGGGATTGTTTTCCTCGTAATGTGATTGGAAAAGTTGGAAAAAAGTCTGTCAACATCCTTTAAATATAAAATGAAAAAAGTTTCAGATCAAAGCTTCAGGGGGGGGGAGTTCGATGGGTTTTAGCAACCCCCCCTGTCGAAAAATCCATTCAAAATCATGTTGTTTTCACCATTCTGAGCATTTTTTAATTGATTTTGGCCATTTGTGGACCAAAATTGTCATAAGTGAACCCCCCTGGAAGCTATGTAAGTTTAAGTTAATTTTAAGGTTATTCCAATTTGAACATGTTACATATAATCGAATACAATTTGACGCAAAGCGTATATTGTAGTTGAAGGAGCAATAGTAAATATTTGTAAATACAATCATCATTTTAATGGAGTGCAGGAAAATAGAATTAACCATTCATATATTTAGATATTTATTTTCATTATTAATAAACTAATTTTATTTTATTTTTACCTCGTGCGTGTGGCCCACCATAAGAAAAGATAGCTTGATCTTTTTGAAAATCCCCTTCTGTACAAGAAGAGCAAGGAACCCAAGAATGTACCTTTAAAAACACATTTAAAGAGAATGAGTACTTTGTTAAAGCTGAGATTTCATTAATAATTGGCATTCTTTCAATTTTTCCAATAAAGGACAAGGGTTGTTTATTATTGCAATCGCTTTTGAATAAAATTGATGCTGTTTTAAATACGTTTCATGTATGCCAATTATTTCTTAAATTGTGTAAATGGTACCCTTTCCACTTAATCTCAAAAAATTTCTCTTTGAGGAATTTCCCATAGTTATCCAATGGTATAGTTCCAAGCAGATTTTGAAACACGAACGTTAATCACCAAAACACACCTTATTGGGTTGTTTTGGTTTATATCACAAGCAAATTGTTAATCCATAGATAATCCTTGAAAATGAGAATTATTTTGTAGGGAAATGCATGAAAAGCTCCCCAGATTCATTCTACAAACAACTTGCAGTCCTTTATAATCAATGAAATTTCCAAATTATGCTACATTTTCGTACCTTGAGAAGTCAATTGATCAAAGATAATAATGCAATATGGTGTTTTACTTTCTTTTTTTAATTGCATCAATAATACAGCTTGCAATATAATAAAATTATTATATTTGATACCAGAAAGCAATCCAAAATTGAGAACTCACCGATTTTTATTTTCCTTGGCGCTGTTGTCCATTTGGAGATATAAAACTGGTGGAAGATGATCCACACTCTGCAATGCCAACAACAGGCAGGTCACAGTGAGATTTGAACCGTGTGGCCATTGGAATAAGTCAAAAAACCCATAGTTTCCTACACCATGTAAAATAACTCCAACCTGAAACACACATGCAGATTTTTCAAAAATAATTGTAGAAGTTATATATTTGTTTACTACTAGTATAATAAAGTCCACTAATTACTAGCCTTTGACACAGATTTGGCTATTGGAGCTCATGACATGTCTGTTGCCACAACACCGACCACCATTCACGAAAAAGCTTGGGGATAACAATATGTTTCCACTTAGGTGATGACATAAAAATCATGTTATTTATTGTTAGTATGTAACAATAACTTCATATATGTACAAGTTAATATTGACTTACCAAGTGTACCTTGAGTAGCCATAGATTAGCCATACACTTAGCTTTGAGCAGAAATCTTGGCAGCATTGTTTTTGCTTGATCCATGCTATCAATTATTATAGATAGGTATCTATTTTCATCATCTTTGGCCTTTTGAATGTGTTTGTAATATTTTCTTCGCTCGGTGCTGTAAAGTAGGGATAAACATTATATAATACAAGGTGCTTGTAGGGATTGTTCATCTTCAATTCAAATTTTTGTTAAAATTACATCATTTTTATTATTTCTTCTTCTCAATCTAAATTGTTACTTTTACTTATTTAGATGAATTTCACACTCTCTAATCAGTGTCT